TCAAATTTTTTTACTTTTATTTGTTATTTAATTTTTACAAATTATAATTTCACATGTCAATCCCTTCTCCCTCTTCCCCATCCTTCCAATCCCCCTCCATTCCCTTCCCTCCTCCACTCCCCATAGAGGGTAGAGCCCTCCACGGGGGCTCCCCAAATTAAATTTTCCAATTTTATGGTGTACAGGTTTTTGAAGTATGACCTAATGATTCTCTGGTTTTCTCACTGTCTGTTGTTATGTCCCCTTATTCATTTCTGATTTTGTTAGTATGATATTCTCTCTCTGCCTTTTGCTTAGTTTAAATGGTTTGTCTATCTTGTTGATTTTCTCACAGAACCAGCTCCTTCTTTCTCTGATTCTTTGTATTGTTCTCTTTGTTTCTAATTTATTTATTTCACTCCCTGAGTTTATTTCCTGCCATCCACTCTTCCTGGGTGAGTTTGCTTCTTTTTTTGTTCTCAAGCTTTCAGGTGTGCTGTTAAGTAGCTAGTGTGTAACTTCTCCAAATTCTTTATGTAGGCACTTACTGCTGTGAATGGACCCTGGAGTTATAAATCAATTTCAAACTAAGAGTAAAATCACATAAATTACACTGTTGTCCAAGATGATTACCCAAAATTAGTTCATAGTCAAGACTAGTCAGAAAAGATAACATGGGTATGGAAAGAGTAAGGGGAGTTAAGAGAAAAAATGATGTCAAAATCAGTGTGGAAGAACCTATAGGAAATATTAGAAGGAAGCTGGGAGGTGGGAAGATTTCATTGTGATCAAATGTGATGCATATATTACTTAAACTATTGTAACTGATGTATCAGCGAATACAGAATTCAGGGTAAATGATAAAAGCTTGCAGAACCACTAAGAATTTAAGGTATGGAGAACATATTAGGTAACCTCTCCCACTATATATTTCCAGCATCATTTATACAAGGCAAGAAGGCAGATATCGCCAGCTATCTAAGATGATCTCTCTACATTGACTACTCCACTAGACACCTCTAAACTTTCATGTAGGTTCTATGATAAGGGACAACATCTGACAAAATATTAACATCACTAATTTATCACATAAAATTAGGGAAAAAATCCCAAGTGCTACCATCACAAAGAGATTTTCTCATTGCAGGTAACTCTCATTAGGGCCCTCTTCATGTCTCTGTTCCTCAGGCTGTAGATGAAAGGGTTAAGCATGGGAGTCACCACTGTGTACATCATAGCCATGGTTGTCTGCTTTACAGTAGAATTATTAGCTGATGGACATAAGTAGAGACCAATTATTGTCCCATAGAACAGAGACACCACAGACAGATGGGAACCACAGGTGGAGAAGACCTTATAGATGCCCCAGGTAGAAGAAACCTTGAGAATGGAGGATACAATCCTTGTATAGGACATAACAATGAATAGGAAAGGCATAATAACAGTGAGCCCTCCTGAGATAAATATCATCAACTCATTAACATAAGTGTCTGAGCAGGCCAGCTTCAAAAGATCAGATAAGTCACATAAAAAGTGGAGAATCACATTGTTCTCACAAAAAGACAGTCTAGCTGTGAGCAGGGTGTGCACCATGGCATGTAATGTAGTCAGCACCCACAATAGCAGCAACAGAATAGCACAGAGCTTCGGGCTCATGATGCTGGTGTAATGAAGCGGGAAGCAGATGGCCACATAGCGGTCATAGGCCATGACCACAAGAAGCAAGCTCTCCATGTCTCCAAAAAACATATAGAAGTACAGTTGTGTCAGGCAGCCTCCATAGGTGATGGATGGTATTTGGCTCTGCATGTTGTGCAGCAATGTGGGCATTGTGACTGAGGAGAAGCAGAGGTCAGAGAAGGACAAGTTGCTGAGAAACAAGTACATGGGTGTGTGGAGATGGGAGCCCAGTCGAATGAGGATGATAATGATGAGGTTCCCCAAGATGGTGGTGAGGTACATGGTCAGGAACAGGGCATGGAACAGGTGCTGGTGCTCTGGGGGGATGGGCAGGCCCAGTAGTAGGAAATCTGAGGGAAAAGTTTGGTTGCTTCTAGTCATGATATGCTTGCAATGGCTTAAGAAAAAACAAACACTTTATTATACTCCCAATTGTTGAGTGTGTATGAAATCATAGCTCAACTCGACTATTTTGTCTCATTTGTTTACAATAGAAAAAAGAATTTTCTTTATTTTTATATTCTTTGCTTCAATATGGCATGGAATAGCCTCAGTCCATTTATTCCCTCAGAGTTCTTGGTAAGTGATGGTGTCCAAACCCTGTCCTATCACTCTACCAGCAGCCACTCCTACACATCAATCTCTATATCCCAATGACACCAGACATGGCTTGTGACACACATGGCATGTTGCGTGCTCTAAAGAAACTAATCTTACTCTCATGAAAGTAATTGTAATCTCTACATTCAAATATGATCAGGCTTTGAGGCCAATGAATGACATTTCTTAATCTTGCCTACCATATACTAGTATTGCCTAATCACACCTAATTGCTTCTGGTTTGCAAAATGTTTTGGAATATCTCTTTCCTGCCTGCATTTTATTCTGGGCAATTGTAGTTCACCTCATTCTACAGTTTATTTCTGTAAATTTTCTTTAAGGATTTTTGTAACCTTATCCTCATAATTCTATATGAACCCCAAGAAAAACACATATACTTTAATGTGTTAGATTACTATTACAAATCAGAGGCAGTTGTCTGTCTAACCTAGTGAATTTACTCTCTCACTGTTGACTAATCACATTCCACCTACCCCAACATGGGCATCTGAGACCCAATGGATCCTAAGAGAAATTCACTCCTCCCTCTCCCAAGCTCTTTCTCCTAAGTCTCTACTATGTCATAACATGAAAAATTCATTCAAGACCTAGTATATGAGTTTTATTGCATTTTTTTCTATTTTCTTCCCTTGAACTCCAATTGAGCACATTATACAGAGTCCCATCTTCATCTTCTGTTTTCCAGGCTTTAAAACTACCCAATCATCTTCTTAGAATTAAATGCCATCATTTCTTGTCTGAAATACTGGTGAGAACTCAATTACAATTCATATTCCATTTCTCAATACTATTTTCTTCAATATTTTTAAGCCACATTGGCATTCTGAAATGGAAATGCAGACTTCTCTTTCCTGATTCATCATTCGTAAATGACCATCTTGTTCGTAGAATAAAATTCCTAGCATGTGAACAAACTAGTCATCCTTAACTGACCTGGACCAACATCTACAGCCTAATATGACCTTACATAGTACCTACATTCTCTCTCAACAAAACTACTTCAAATTGAAATTTGTGCCTCCATTATTTCTGATTTGATGTTCTCTTTGTCTATCACATCCTCTCCTCGGTGGTGAGGCTTGTCCCACTTATGTTTCCACAATATAGCATGGCATATGCTAAGTTAAACCTTTCTTTTGTACCTACACACAGTAATACATGCTACCATGGTCCCACAATATTGTGTACTCATCTCATAGCTACCAATGGCCCAGATCACTGGTTCACAGCTTTTGTTGCCAGTCTGTACACTTCATGCAGAACCGGCCAAGCCTTCATCTTTTAGCAAAGCCAGACCTGTCTAGATGTGGCCCTGGGTTCATGAATATTTCCTAGCTGTTCTCTAGTCTTAGAACACACTCTTTCAAATTTAAGTCAGAAATGCACATGAAATCCACATAATTACCCTTCTTCAGTTTCTCCAGAATATAAACTGGCTAAACTTGACATTTACCATGAAAATCTGACACTCTGTGATTAGCTTCACAGATGTAATTGTATTCATGGAGAGCCTTACAGTGGGTAAGATGTTTTGCTCTTTTCAATAATATTAATGACTCAAAACTTTTATGATTCAATGCATATAATCCCAATGATAATGATGTAGGAAAATAATTATGATGAATATTACATGAAATATCAAAAACAAACAAAAACCATTAGGTATTTTTAATCCCTCACTTAAGTTTATCTTCAGCTATCGATAACATGATAGTTAATTATTTTAGGAAGTGGTACAAGACTTGATAGAAATTATGTTCAAAATATAGTTCAGAATATTTCTATGAAGGTGTTATTAACACTTGAATTAGTAAGTCACATTATCAGAGAAAGTAACTGTAACTCTTCACAGTGTGATAGGCTTCACATGAGCAGTTGGCAGAAGAAACAGAAAAACCACAATCCCTTGAGAAACTGTATCCAGGTTGCCTTGGATTTGAGACTATAACCTCCACTCTTCCCAGGGATGCCAGTCCACACCTATTGGACTTATCTAGTCCCAGTTTTGTGGGCTGTATCTTAAGACACTTCCTTGTCCTGATCTGTTTTCTTCTAGATAACTCTGCATAATGAACCCTAGTCTGTATCAACACTGAAAAATAAATCCTGAGAAGCACGAAGACAGGTGGGGACAAGACTGTGTATTTAGCTCAGTGTACTGTAGTTATCTAGCACCTCCTAGTTCCCGAGTACCACCTCTAACTGAAAAAAAAAAACAGAAAAAGAAAATAAAGGACACACAGAGAGGCTGGAAATCCTTCCATGACACTATCTGAATTTAGCTGCTGAGATCTCCATCCTGCTAATGTTTATTGGGGCAGCTGCACTAACAATTGAATACTTGAATGTTATATTTGGTGACAAAGAGAAGAGCAATGTAATGAAATAGTGCACCTAGATTCTCAGAATTATTCTTATCCTATGAATGAGTGGTGGCCATGACGTATGGAGGCTTATATGCAGAGATTGCAGAGCAGAGGTCACCTGTGAAGCCTGCTGCTCATGACATAATGGACTTCACTCCTTCAATTTTCAAACTCAAAATTTTGGGGGTAAATAGCAGATTAGATTCTCACATATACATGGTTGTAGAAGTTAATGTATTCACAATTCACCTGGGATTCTCTGACAATACAGACTCTTTTAAAACTGACATTCAGCTTAATTAATGAACACTCGGGTAATGTCAATACTATGTTGGATGGGTTGAAACAAAGAGCAATCTCTTTTTGATAGAAGATCTGTTCTAAGTTTACTAATGTCCCCAAGCTAAAGATGAGCTAAAAGAAGGCTTATTAACTAGCATTTACCCTACTCTAAAAGAGTTTGTATTAGGTTGAAATGGAAAAAGACTTACCTAGTAAGTAATTGTAATAACTCCATCATCACCAAAATAATTATTAATATAACTGTTGAATAAGGTATTTCTACAGTATGGCACAGGGTTACAAAGTATAGAAATTGCAAAGAATGTTATCTTACCTGAAAAATACCACTCATACTGTCATAAACCTGAAAATGCAAGATCCTTAGGTTTCAGGACAGTAAGGTACCACCTGACAATTTATCTAGGAAGAATGAAGGTACATTAAGGTCCCTCGTTCAGATCCTGGTCACATTTATTTATTATAGGCATAGGAAAAAACAGCCTCTGTAGTCAACACCTTCTTAGATGTCTGCTTTTAGCCACCTCTGGACCCAGGGGCTCTACATCCCAGAGGAGTTCAGATACTGCTTAACTCATTAGAGGTATGGTAATTACCCAGGTCCTATCTAGGAACAATTCTTCCAAAGCCCTGTCGTTGGGGCTGATGATGGCCATTTATAACTCCTGAACATACTTAGGGGGAAAGTGTTTCTGATGCACACTTACCCTGTGCCCGTTCCCAGGATTTTTAGGATTTATGTGTAACTCCAGCTTAGATTTTGAGTCAGCTAAGGGTGTGCTATTTGAAAACCACTGAAGTAATTGCAAATTCTTTGTGTTTAAATTAATTGATGCTTTGATCTAGATTATCAATTTAAGAGGCTGAAGTTGTTCATGGGATTTTTTTGTTACTCTCTAAATTTTGTTGGCACATATAGCATGCTTCCTCTTAAATTTCTCATCCTTGTGATTTATACCTGATGTAACTTCCCAAAAGGCTATTGGTGTTAGTTATCCCTCCCCAGATTCCTTCCAATAACCTGCCCTCCCATCTCCCACTACATTTAATCCTTGTATTCTAGTTTCATCTTTATGCCTTTATAACACTATACCATATTTTACATTCCCTGGAAGAGTCTCCTCTTCCCCTGTGGTGAGATTTTATTTTTTATACCCTAGATTCTTTTGTTTAGATTTATTTATTTTATGATTGTTTTGGTAGCATCGATTTATGTGCACCATGTGGATGCTAGTACTCACAGAAGGCAGAAAAGGGCATCTAGTAACATATAGCTTGAGGTTTGTGTGGTTATGAGCCACCATGTAAGGGCTGGGAATCAAATACAGTTCCTTTGCAAGAACAGAAAATATTCGCTACTGCTGAGCAATCTCTCAGCCCCCAATAGTAGCCATTCTTACTTGGGTAACCTGGAATCTCAAAACTGTTTTAGTTTATATTAACCTGATACCTAAAGATGTTCAACATGTGTTAAAATATATATCATTTACACCTCTCAATTTCTTCCTCTAACTCTTCCCATTACTCCCTACTCCCTTTCAAATTCATGACCAATTATTTAACATCATTTCAACACACACACACACACACACACACACACACACACACACACAATCTAGATCTGTGGTCCTACCACCACCAAAGCCAGAGGCCTCAAACCAGACCAGTGGCTCATAGATATAAACACTTAAGTAATGATGAATGGACTAACTGATAAACTGTCTCAGTAGGCCACACTACAATTTCCACAATGAGATTCTTCTCCCTTTTTTCTGTTTGTTTTGTTTGGTTTTGGTTTTTCTTATAAATTTTGTTTTGTTTGGCAGGGAGACATTGCAAGGGCAGAGGGCAGATGTGAGGGGATAGTGAAATAATTGGGATCAGGATGCATCATATAAAATAGAACAATCACTAAAAGTTAAAAGAATTTTTTTAAGATGACATAAGTATTGAGTGTCCTCTAGGGCCTATGACTGGCTAAGTTTTCAGTACTGGGCATGAATTCCTTCCTACTAATTGCTAAGTAAGTGCAATTGAAGAGCTGTGGGTTACTCCCAAGATCAAAATGCCACTATGGCACCACTAGAGATACCTTGTGCTGCTTCTCATTATTTGGTTCATAAACTTTAGAGTGGTATTGAATGTGCTGTTCTCCCCTTATTACGATAAACCTTTCCACCAAAAGCCGCCTGAGTCCCACTGCCACGTGTGAGCTTTACGCCAGCCGCCAGCCTGAGTTATGGCCCAAATGATTACACAGAAACTTGTATTAGGTACAATGCTGCTTGGCCAATGACTAGGATTCTCATCTGTTAGCTCAATATTAACTATCATAAACCCATATATTTTATAAGACTTATCTTATTGGTGTCCCTCCTTGCTGGTGGATC